GTAAATTATTTGCTGCTTTTTAATGTGAAAGCTCCAGGGTGGCCCGCGAAATTCAAATTTTTTCTTGCGTTTTTGGAGTTTGCAGGCCAGGGTCAGGTTATATGTTTAATAAAATATGATTCGCAACCGTAACGAGTATGTGTTTATAGAATTATTATCATTAAAATCACCAACACATTCATATAATCCCCATGAATGAGTTTTCTGGAGATAGCTTTACATAGCACACATAATCTTAGGTAGTCTTATACATACAAAAGTGATACCACTTATAGTTTCCGCGCAAGGGGTTTTAAAATCTGTACATCTGAAGACCATATTTTATTCATTTTCGGCCATACATATGGGGCGTCAAATTTGTAGCATTTTGACTCCCCTATCACGCCCTGCCAGGAGGTTGACGAGTTCCCAGTAACCCTATATATGCAAAATATAAAGGCGGTTGCTCTTTTTTTAAAAAAAAAATTATAATTATTGGATTATTTTCTTAAAATTTTCACATGCATCAGGTGACAACCCTATCTAAATAAATATACATTTTCGACGTTGTTGGAAGCTTCTCCTCTGGTCCTTACTTCTTACTTTGATTATAAGGTGAGCGATCTTTACCTATTTTATCGATCTCGTCTTTGTGCGGTATTTTAAAGATGTTTAACATAAATATTAATTGGAGCTGCGACAATGCAATTTTATTCGAAAGAAAATAATCGAATGATTAATATGATATTATTATTTCTTTACGAATAACGTTAATTACTATGCTGCGAAACATAAGAATGTGAAAACAGCAGTGTAAGTGCCACGTAGGAATTATTTATTTAAAAACCTTTATGTATGATCATCATTCAGAATTTTTGTAAAATCTCATTTTAGGTTATGTTGATATACTTATAGTTCATAAGTATATCAACTCATATTATTGCTGATATAACAAATGAAGAATATTGATTATGTTTGACAAAACAATATACATTACAAGACAGTATACTAGGCATGAGACCGATATATCAAAACGTAACTAATAACGTTATGTTATCAAATAACATATCATATCGATAAACCTATGTACATAACCGTTATCACAATATCCAACCAAAACCCAAAACCAACTAACCAACGTACGAAACGTAAAGGTAGCAGTACACGTTGGCCGATCGCGCTCACCGAGTACGTTCGGCCAACGTGTACTGGGCCGTTTTGTGTGTATTTGGCGTTTGCGGCCAACACTCGCCCACAAGCCGTATAGTGTCGGTTTTCCGTGCACAAATCAAAGAAATTTGGCGCAAGCCGCAAATAGCGATTACACGTTGGCCGAGTGTTCAGTTCATAGTAACGCTTTACGGCTTAATAAGATGAACATGGCGACATGGCCTAATGAGGAAATATTTTGGTTCATTGATTCTTATCACAATGGTCAGTTATGTGGAAACCCAAACATGAGCAACATAAAAATAAGGCCGCGATCACTAACGTCCATCATCATCTAGCTACCAACGCAGAATGAAGCACGTTTCAGTTTATACAAAGGTACTCTGTGGACGCACGCCAACGTGTGAACGGCACCACAAAAATCTGCCGAGCGGGCTCGCCAAGCGCGCTCGACCAACGTGTACGTGGAGCCTTTAAACGCAAACTGTAACGATATGCCAACACGGCCCAAAACTAACCGATGTCCTTTGATATTCGTTGTTACTTGCTCTAGCGACGGTATCATAAACACGTATGAAAGAGATGTAACGAATATGGATTTCATTGCAATGTTTTGGTAGTTATCGTAAAACGGTGCACGTGAAATATAATTATATGACCATTAACAATAAGGTCGAATTTTAAATGGTTAAAATTGAGAGTTGTCAGATTTAAATGATCTTTAGCACACTAGAGACAAGACTTAGATTTGTTTGATCACATTATATGTGGTTTAGGCAACTTTTGTTTATGTTTTATATGGAAAATTTAGAATTTGAGTTTTTTTTTCAAAACGTAACAATTACGCACTTGACTTTGGTGGCGTGTGCCATTCACTATGAAACTATCTGCAAAATTATTAATTTATAACGTAATTTTGTATATTTGTTTGATATATTTGTTTGCTGAGCCATGGTTGCTCAGATGGTTAGCGCTCGCTGTAAGCTTCACAGTACTCGAGCAACCCGGGTTCGATCCCCGCCGGCACCAATGAAATTGTTAATTGCAATTTTAAGTTCTGATTTATCACGTGCTCGGCGGTGAAGGAAAACATCGTGAGGAAACCTGCATGTCTGAGAAATAAGAAAAAAATATATTTCGAAGACATGTGAAGTTTGCCAACACGCATTGGGGCAGCGCGGCGAAAATTTCCTTGCCCTAAAACCCTCTCAGAAATGAGAGGAGGCCTGTGCCCAGCAGTGGGACGTAAATAGGCTGCAACTTTACTTTACAAAACAAACATAAATTATATATTAACATACATGTCTAAATATTACATCTAAGATTATATTAGAGCCGCTGATTTATGAACTAAAATAATCGAAGTAATTCGTAAAATAAATGTTGCACTGGTTCTACAGTTATCACATACATAATATACTGTATATGGCATAGATGAGCCACTCTGGCAAATTATTAGGTGACGAAACGAGGGAAATTTCTTTTGTGCTTTTATAGATGACGTTGGGATTTTAAATGACTGAAAATCACACTAGAGGGCGCTATCACCTAGATTCAGTATTAATTCGTACACATTTCAATAAAATAAAAGGAAATGAACTTAAATTTAATTCAATTATTAATTATTAATTACTAAGTAATATGTTTTATATAACCATTCATTCAGTTTATTTAAGAAAACCATGATATGAATTGCTTCGTTGAATTTCATTGAATTATTCTGTATATATACCGGTATATTTCAAAACCTTGCTAGCATGATTTCGGTATAAATAATAAATACCAGCAGTGGCACCATCTTTTAATAGATTGTAAAAAATATTCGGGAAAATAGTACTTTTACTGTGAGATGGTGCTAGTATCAACGTAAAAGCAAGCTACTGAAGACTTTCTTACCCCCCCCCCCCCCCAGCCTGCAAAATAATGATATTTGTAATAAAAAAAATATTAGTCGACGTATTTTTAATAGCACATTACGATTATACTTGTATGTGTAATTGCACACTCTCCAATTTTTTATAAAAAATCAAAAAGTAAATTATGATTTTTACTAGTACTGCAATATCGATATCTCCGTAAATAAAGTTTTTTTCTAATTGCACAGAGTGCCAATAAATTGCACATATCTCGATTTTAATTGCACAATAACGTATTGTTATTGCACATACTTATTTAGTTACAAAAATTAATAATTAAGTAAAACTGACGGTCGCCGCCAATATGCGCTATACGCAGCAGACGACGGGCATAGCGCATACCGCCAATGAAAACGGGCCATAAGTCGTTCTGCTTTTTAACCACAACACAACACGTTTCAATCCATTTCAGAATATTTGGTTTTAAGGAAATGAAAAGCAGTATGTATTATTTTCTGTTATTTCTGTGGATACTGATGTGAAAACAGCTGAAACTGGATACATGCAGAGAAAGTTGGTGCAGAGTTTGGAAGATCTTTGCCTGCACTACGATTCGACAGTTAGAAATTCTACAAGAGACATTGTTCAGGTTCTCTATGGTGGAGATGCCATGGACCACAGAACACTATTACTCCTAGCGGAGAAGAACGCCAACTTCATACATAATAAAATAAATCTAATATACACCCACTAGCTTCATCTATAGTCAGCCCCTGCAATTTTTTGTGGCGGGAAAATTTGAATGTTGCTGAAGTGTTCGAACACCCAAACTCGTGACTGGTTTTTTGTTTCGGGTTCGTACGTATATATCCAGGATTCGTCATCTGATACGATGTTGTATTTTCATTTGAGGATCCTGCGTAGAATCTTTCGAAAGTTCTGACGCACCAAGTAACGCAAGCCGCTTTTTGCTCTTCACAGAGCGAATGCAGTATCCATCGGGAAAACAACTTTTTTGCACCTAATTGTTCATGCAAGATTATTTGTATTTGACTTATGCCAATGTCTAAAGTTGCCTGAATTTCGCGGCATGTCACATGTTGATCTTCCTCAATCAGCTTACGCACAGCATCAACGTTTTCTTGGGTGACTGCAGTTTTTGGACGACCTTGACGGGGATCATCACTGAGCTAGACACGTCCACGTTGAAATTCAGCAAACCAGCGATAAATTGTGGTTTTGGATGGGGCTTCATCACCAAATGCAGAAATCATCCGGTCAACACACTGTTTTTGTGTTAAACCACTTCGAAAATCATAATAAATCATCGCTCTTGAATTTTCTCGAGTCAATTCCATTTTCTCAACGACTAAACAAGTTTGACAAAACCTTGTGACAAGACCGAGAATCTTTTTTTAAATAAATAAATGGTATTCGATTTTTAAAACCAAGAACTTTTCAATTAATAAAAATTTAATATGACAGGAACAGTGGAAATATTCCATTCCCGATACTTTTAGTGCAGCCCTCGTAATTAGATTTTGTAAGATTTTTTCAATTTTATGTGAAATTAACTGTTTTATAATAAGAAATTACGGTTTTATTATACTAATTTTCTACGGCGATTATTTTTTTTTATTCAAATGAAAATTAGTAAATTCATAGGTGCCGACGGGATTGAACCCGGGTTGTAGTCTATGGGTAATGTCCACAATCTAATAGGAAGGTAATGTCAACTTATGTCTTAAAGAACAAGCATCCAAAACACATAACTTAAATCTTTTAAAAAAATAATGTCAAATTATCAATCTCTCGGTCTCGCGCTCGCGCCAAAACAGAAGTGAAGCGTTAACTTAATTTAAAAGAAGTTTATCTGAGATTATCTAGCAAAAATAACAAACTAAAAAAATAGTTGAAGAAAAAGATGATCCAATTCCAATAATAGTAGATCATAACTTCATATAATATAGTTGTTGTTTATTTAAAATATTGAGTATGGATTTAAAAATTAAAAGAAAATCGACACGTACTGCACATAGCAGCAATCTTTTAGAAAATTATCCTCATGATCTACAAATGTATAAGGTTCCTCCTATTGAGAATATAAGATTACATGAATTTGAAACTTTGGCTCTAGAAAGGCTAACATTACTGAGGTGCTTAGCGACCGCTACCACTCTCAAAGGGTTGCGTATATATTCAAACGAATGGAGAGAATTTGTATTGAACGAATTACGATCGCAAGGGTTAAAATACTATGCTAATCTTTGTGACATATCAGGATTTGGAACCAGTGAAGCTGATTTGCAGGCCAGACGTAAAGATCATATTGGACATTTTATTCTTAGACTAGCTTACTGCAGAACAGAAGAATTACGGAGGTGGTTTGTTGCAAGAGAACTAGAACTGTTCAAATTGCGGTTCATGACTATGAAATCAGAAGCAGTTGTTGAATTTTTCAAAATCAACAAATTATGTTACACTAACATTTCAGAAGAAGAAAAGAATGAAATCATTGGTTGCTTAAGGGAATCCACAATGCACCAAAAAGTAGATTCTCTCAAATTTTATAAAGTCAAATTTTATGAAGTTCTCGATCTTGTCAAATCTAGAAAAGTTTACATTCAGGGTGGATATGCATACATCCCTGATAAAGATTTTATATCAGTTCTTTCTGCACAGTATAGAATTCACTTAAAGCAGAGTTTAGTAGTTGCCTGTCATCATCTAGGTGAAATTGAGCAGGATGAGAGACTTGTCGGTTTATTAAAAGGTCTACACCAATCCTATTCTGGTGATGATTACAGTGATACAAAAGTTGTTGTACCTATTGAAACTCTTGATTCCCTGTCAGTGAAATCATTTCCTTTGTGTATGAGACAACTTCATGAACAACTGAGATTAAGCCATCACTTGAAACATGGTGGGAGACTACAATATGGGTTATTTTTAAAAGGTATTGGTGTAACTCTTGAAGATTCCTTGAGATTCTGGAGAGATGAATTTACCAAAATAATGGATTTGGACAAGTTTGAAAAGCAATATGCATATAACATCAGATATAATTATGGTAAGGAAGGAAGCAAAAAGAACTACTCTCCTTTTAATTGCCTAAAAATTATTAATAATAATGTTGGTCCAGGAGATTGTCATGGCTGTCCATATAGGCATTGTGATCCTAGCAATTTGAAAAATAGGCTTAAAGGTTATGGCATAGAACACCAAGGTAGATAAAATTTGTAATAATATATAAAAAATATACATTCTATAATGCACTTGTTAGACCATTATTAATGTAATGTTTATTTAATTGGTTTATGTTTCAGCTCTACATGATATAGTTGACATGGCTAAAAGAGGTCATTTTCAAATAGCTTGTAGTAAATACTTCGATGCTGCTCATAACACTGAATTAGGTTTAGGAATTAATCATCCAAATCAATACTTTGAGGAAAGCCAGAAAATTCTTAAGGGTGAAAACAAAGTTGAAATAAAAAAAGAAACCAAGCAAACTACCATTAAGAAAGAACAATCTAAACAAATGGAAGATATAGATTTTGATGAGATATCAGAGTGGAATGAATAATATATCACATCATAAGTAGAAAATGTTTTTATTGTTTTATTATTAATACAAGATGAACAATATCTATTTTCTTTTTATATACATTGCTCTTTTTGTCATTCGACCACAATATAAACCAAATATGAAAATTAGGCCTATAATTGATATGGCCACTAGTAAAAAATACTTCTTTGATGGTGAGGATGATAATTCATTGTAAATATCTCCTAAATTTTCTGCATGGTGGGCCTGAAATATAAGAAATAATAAATATTAAAAAAATAAATAGATAAGCACACCTTGGATCTCTTCCGAAATGTATCCTTTGAATACACTGACCACCTTAAGTTGTTGGGGGTTGAGATTTCCTTAAACCTGAACTGGTTGGTTGATGGTTCATTGGGTTCAGGACCAAGTAGCTGTAGTGAAGTTAAGTGCCCTTACAGAGGTGCAGCAGTACTTTATACTGGGATAGCTGCTTAGTGCAAAGTGTAAGCCTTACACTATATAAAGTGCAAGTTTGGTCATGAATGGAAAATTGCTGTCATTCATGGGCTAGTGCTGCAAAATGCCATCTAGTGGCTTTGGACTCAATGGAAAGACAAAGACATACTAAGAGGCTTATTGGTGATCTAAATATAGTGAACTCAATCTAACCAATCTAAAGCACAGGTGCAATATAGCCAGCCTTGGTGTTCTATAGGATACATTTTAAAGTTGTAACGCACTGTGCAGGAAATGAATGACTTAATTCCTCTTGCTCACTTCCACCGTTGTACAAACTTTTGCCAGTCTTTTTTTTTATATAGGATAGGGTGACAAACGAGCACACAGTCCACCTGATGGTAATTGGTTACTGTGACCTATAAACATTTACACCTATCTTCGATTACGAATGAAAATGCAGATGTGTTGTTACCCGTGAGGACTAAGATGGAATGCCAGTCTCAACTCCTTTGTTGCTGACATACGATGCATTTGAATAAATGGTTTGCTTTGTTGTTTGTGATATGTACAGTAAAGCAGTGGAATAATTTGCCAGCATCTGTCTTTCTACCCAAAAACAAACTGGGAAAGAGCAATGAAGCACTGGCTTATAGTAGTTAAAAAAATTTAACTATTACATAAAATATACTTACAGCAACATATCTATACATTTCCAAACGACTTGAAAGTTGTTTTTCACATTCTGTCTCCAGTTTCCTGTTACTATCATTAAGTATTATCTTGAGACATTTAAGACCTATAAGAAAACATTGATTTAGCATTTGTTATAATCTTTGAAATGAAGTAAAAAAGCTATAACTATGCTATAAGCTATAATAATTTAAATTTCAAACTGATTTTTTTTCAATTGGTCTTTCAATTTTTACAATTTCTATTGTAAACTTTACAGTATCACAAATTTACTATAATAATGAACTACAAAAAAACTCCCTGTAAATCTTAAACAAATTTTTGTGGAATTTATTGTATTAATTTAACAATTACAACTTTCAGAGGCTCGAACATCACTGATTTGTCAACTTTACTTTTTTACTTTTCCAATAGAGAGCCATAAAACCATCTCGTTAAACGAAACATAAAATACCCAGACCTGTGTCAAAGATGTGAGAAGTCTGATACCGCAATCATCCATCTGCCTGAAAAACTTATTAGATATTTAAGGCATACCCTCTACACAGCAGGAGAGGTGTAGAGGGTATGCCATGTTCAGCGGTGGACTTTTAAGCGCTTAAAATAGTCCTACAACCTAGCGTCTAAGTCTGCTTGATAGTTAAGATATTTTGAGATCCCAATGCAGCTTTGCATCACAATAAATTCAACGAAAAAACAGTGGAATCCTTAAAACTCAACTTCTACGTATTTATTTTTAATCCACTTGAAAATATGTTAAATATTATTGACTTGTTCTGAATGTCACATAACTGCCGCTCTGTTTAAGAGGTAAATATTTGCATATAATGTAATATTTGTAAAGCAAGTAAAATGGTTAAATTTCTTACGTCTACCAGCACCATGTTCCAATTCTTTACAATATTTTAATAAATCTAATGCACAAGCACGCTCCAACAAAGGATCTGCTTCAATATCAACCTCAGTTTCCTCAATTATCTGAGCAACTTCTTGTGCACATTCAGCTGACACTATTTTATGTTCCATCAAAGCATTTTTTAGACATTCCTCCACCTATGGAAATAGATTAAAAAATTATGTAACTATTTATAATATTCCTACAAAGCAATATGGAACAATGTCATCATCTATTATAAAATTGAATTACTTCATTGCACTGTCGGCGTTATTGTGTAGATTCACATGCTAGTGTGTTATCATATTGAGTGCGACAATCTAAATATAAATAGAAATTCAGTTCATAATTAATCGTGTTTTGTCTGGTGTAATTTAGATCTACCGTGATAACAATTAGAAACTATTCAAATACTATTTCAACGCTAAGAATTTAAGATGGTAACATTTATTTGCAGCAAAAAGAAGTTAACAAGATAACTAATGTTATTTGTAGTCATTATCATTACAGTCCTTCACAAACTCACTGCTGAAAATAGGCCTCCCCTAAGGAATGCCACAAAACATGGTCCTAAGCCACCTACATCCATCGACCTCCTACATATCTTAACAGGTCGTCATTCCATCTAGTGTGGGCCGCCCTACACTTTGCTTCCCGGTACGAGCCTGCCACTGAAGAACATCCCCTTTTATTCTTCGAGCTATATGGTGGCCTATGGCACTTCAGCTTACTAATCCGTTGGGCTATGCTTTTTACTCTGGTTCTACTGCGGATATCCTCATTTCTAAGTCGATCACGCAGAGAAACCCGAACGTAGCCTCCCGATTAGCTCGCCAAGTGACCTTGAGCTTCTCATACGGCCAGCTGTGAAGCACCATGTCTCAGATCCATATGTCATCTATGACAACAGGCCTTTGTTGTATAAATCTTGTTATCAAGTTTTGAGGGATACCCGACTAGATATGTCGTAATCTCCCGAACGCTGCTCAGCCTATTTGAATCCGTCGATTGACCTCTCGTCGAAGTTGGACTTACTTAGTCGGATTATTTGTCCTAAGTAAACATACTCTTCAACAACATCCAGCGTAGTGCTCCCAAAAACTACCGGCATAGGTGTTACACATGGATGTTACACATCATCTTTGTTTTGCCCATACTTATCTTAAGACCTATCCGTTGGGAGAAACTATTGAGGTCATTGAGCATAGTGCTTGGGTCTTCCAGCGCTTCTGCCATAAGGACTATATCGTCGGCAAATCGAAGATGAGTGATGTACTCACCATTGTATTTGATGTTAATACCGTATCCTTTCCAATCCAGTAGCTTGAAAACGTCTTCCAATGCAGTGGTGAATAGTTTCGGGGATATAACGTCACGATAGGTTTCGAACTCTTCGCAGCCCTGCTGTGTAAACACTTCAACAGTTCTATATACCGATAGTCAACTTGGCTTCGCTGAAGGGACTGTAGCATTGCCCAAATTTTGATGGAAGCAAAGGCTTTCTCATAGTCTACATACACAAGGCAAAGAGGCAGATAGTACTCTTCGGTCTTCTGTACAATTTGCCGAAGGGTATATATTATGTGGTCTATGGTACTAAAGCCTTTTCAGGAACCACCTTGTTCGGAAGGCTGGAAGTCGTCGAGTCATTGCGAATCATCTCACATGCATTGCATGCAGAGTGCGAGATGATTCGCAATAACTCTCGAAATTTAGCACGTAGACGCGGCTTAGAAGGGTTATCGGTATGTAGTTCTTCAACAGAGCGTTGTCGCTTTTCTTGACAACCGCATTTCTGTTCCACGCCTCCGGAGTAGTGTCACCATAAGGGACAGAATTGAAGAGCTTCTGAAGAACTTCATGTACTGGTTTTAGAAGATCCACTGTGATTCAAACCTCGCCCGGGGCCTTGCCGGTTTTAAGACAGGGTTGGCTGATTTAAATCAGACTGATTTAAATCATGATTTAAATCACGATTTAAATCGCTTGATTTTGATTAAAAAAATCATTGATTTAAATCAAAATCTATAAATTAATGTAATAGGCAGAAAATGAAATAAAACTGGCTTAAAATAAAGTAAAATCTTGTGTTGGTTTATGTTATTCTTATTATTCTACTACAATAGTCTAATAAACTTTGGAAAATCAACAACGACGTAGCGATGAGGCCTGTCAGTCTCATAAACTTAGTAAAATCAATTTTTTTTTTAGAAATTCACCCTTTATATATGAACTGTAATTAATACAGTATTAATTATTTTACTCGTAATCAGTCTCATACATATCTATACAAATAAATAAAATTGAAGTGTCTGTTTATAATGTCAAAATTACGGCTTTTTACTAAATGCATATGAAAGTATATATACGATATGTATAACAAAAACACAATTTTTAAAATTATTGTCTGTCTGTCTGTCTGTTTGTTCCGGCTAATCTCTGAAACGGCTGAATCAATTTTGACGGGACTTTCACTGGCAGATAGCTGATGTCATAAGGAGTAACTTACTTTTATTTTAGAAAAAGAATTAGGGTTCCGTGCAAAAAAACTAAAACCCCAAATAACATGCGGGCGAAGTCGCGAGGAACAGCTAGTGTATTCATAAACTTTTAATCCTACTATGTCAAAAAGTGTTACCAACTCGTGAATTTCTAAATATACAAAAAAAATCAAAAAAATCAAAAAAAATCAAAAACATCATGATTTTTTTTAAAAAATCAGCATGATTTGATTAAAATTAAAAAAATCATGATTTTTTCCATCCCTGTTTTAAGATTCTGGAAAGCCATTAAAATCTCGTTCAGACTGACGTCCAGGATATCATCGAAATAGTGTCGGATAAGACTTGCTCTTGGACCGTTACTCGCACTTGCGTGTGGCTCCAACGATGAAGTGTAGACATCAACCTCACTGTAAATCTCAGGTGTCCCGGAAACGATACTACCACATTCGATCTTCAACTTCGACAATTGGCTCTTTCTGCTATTCTATTCACAATTATCTCGGAAAAGGAAATCGACTCGGATTTGATAACTTCGCGCACGGAAACCAATAGAAGCTCTCAATCTCACTCGAAATCTCATGTGTCCCGGAAACGATGCTGCCACACTCGAACTTCAGCTTTGACAGATGGCACTTTCTGGCAAACAGATCTCTGGCAGACTTTGAAGCCTTGGTTCCGCTCGACCGCTTCTTAAATACGAGCTATATTGAAGTTGCGCAAGTTTCGCTTCATGCATTTGGACATCTGCCGGTTCAGTTGCCTCAATGCTGTTTAGACAGGAAATGAAGACTGCAGCTTCATTTCCCGTCTAAACAATGAGATTTGGAGTGTGATCGGAGAGTTTTGAGTTCTTCTGCGACAGGTCTAGCAAAACTTTGCTCCAACTGCATGGACAGTTTCAACGACCTTGTCGTTCATATCGTTCACTGTATTTCAATACTCTAGACACTGAAAACGGTTCTAAAAATTTCGGGGCTTTGGATTAAAGCACGAGAGGAACGGAGCGTTGACTTCATTAGACGTGACCCCTCCAACTTAACATTAAGGTTCAATGTGCCTTACCAATTTGTGAACGCTACCAGTTTTCACACTAGCGACCACTGAACAGTGGCCGTCTGGTTGTCATAATTAAGCCAATCTCTTTTTTTGGAAAACCGTCGGAGCTTAGCCAGATCCACTTCATATTCTTCATCTTTATTATTATAAAGTCCTTCCTTCTTTATAAAGTCGGACAGCTGTTGACCCCTTTGGTTGCCCTATTCCGCATTTCCCTACATTCAATTCACAGTTCTGTCTTGGGCCTAATTTCGCGTTGCAATCTACCATTAACACCGTATAGTGGCTTTAGAGATATCCTCATATATTTCCTCCACCTCCTCATCGGGATGTACTGAGGTTGGTGCATAAACCTGTAAGATCTTCAACGAATATCGTTTGGTGATTCTGAGTATAAGGTACGCGACCCTCGTCGACACTCACAATCTTTACTACGTTGTTAACGAGAGAATTGTGGACGATAAATCGTACGCCTCCTTGGGAGAGATTCGAGGATTACCGTGTCCTCCCCCTCTCTTCGAATCACAGATAATCCTATAATACCCCAGTGCAACTTGTCTTCTCTTCTTTCAGCTCCAGGATCTTCTCGTCAGTCCTCAGGATGCCTGGTCCAGGTCGAGTCGTCTTAGGTGGCAACCGAACCTCTACTGGAGATTCTTAGCACCTCCTGCCCTGCTGTTACCATGGTAGTCATGATAGTCAGGTATAACGATGTCGTCGGGGACCGGGGCCATTTCCTCATGGGCGGATGTTTGTAATAGTTGCCACGCTTGGCAACCGCAATTTTGAAACAACAGTTTTATTACAAACAAATTGCACAGTTTTATATCAAATATAACAAGTAAATGCTCATACACATGTGTTCTCCCAGTCCTTATATATGGAGATCAAACTTGGTCTTTGACATGTCAGTAAAGCAAATATTGGAGTGCGGTATCTTGAAAGTAAAACTAACAGACTGCATTTGAAATACACAAATAGCCGCTAAGCTCAAATGGAACTGGGCCAAGCAATTTTGGTCTCATCTGAGAAGGGCTTCTGTCTGGTTGGGTTTTATTTATTTATTTAACTATTGAATTGAATTGAATAAACAGGCTGTTTTCCGCAACTCCATGTCTAAGCGCGTATTTTGCGCGTAAGCAGGAATAATGTATTTATTTGAGGTTCAACAGTTCTTTGATGTTGCAAGCAACTTTGGGGACAGATCCCGGCGTGCCGAGATGTTTAGCCCTTTATGCACCGACTTTTTTTTTTTTATAGAATAGGGGGCAAACGAGCATGCGGCTCACCTGATGGTAAGTGACTACCGCCGCCCATGAACAACCGCAACACCAGGGGAATTGCAGATGCGTTGCCGGCCTTTTAGAAAGGTGTAAGCTCTTTTCTTGAAGGTTCCTAAGTCGTATCGGTCCGGAAAATTCGCTGGTGGTAATTGATTCCACAAGGAAGTTGTGCGAGGGAGAAAATTTCTTCTAAATCGCACAGTGGTGGACCGCCAATCATCTAGATGGTATGGATGGTAACGCGAGTTTTGTCGCGATGTGCGATGGTGAAATTGAGCGGTTGGAATTAGTCCGAACAATTCCTCAGAGCACTCCCCGTGATAGATGCGATAAAATACGCAAAGAGATGCAACATCTCTACGCAGTGCCAGTGTATCGAGCCGATCAGAAAGGACTCGGTCGTCGACGATTCGAATCGCTCTGCGCTGGATGCGGTCAAGTGGAAGGAGCTGGCACTGGGGTGCCCCGGCCCAGAGATGAGAACAGTATTCCATGTGAGGCCGAACTTGCGCTTTGTAGAGTTGCAAGCGATGTGCCGGCATGAAATACTGTCTCGCTCCGTTGAGCACGCCAAGCTTTTTAGAGGCCAATTTGGCCTTCCCTTCCAAGTGACCACGAAATTGCACGCTATTCGATATGTCGACGCCAAGGATTCCGATACTGGCTGAGGCAGCAAGGGGAGTGCCTTGAAACTGAGGAGATACGACAAAGGGGTTCTTTTTAGCGGTAAACGCGCAAACTTGTGTCTTCTGGGGATTGAACTGGACTAGATTTAGTCGGCCCCAATCCGAGACTTTGTTAAGCAAAGACTCGACTTCAGACACAAGTTTCTCCCGGTACTCGGCGACGTTTTCCCGAGAAATATTGGCACGGCCGGTATAAAAGGCATCACCAGTGCTGTCGTCCGCACAGCAATGAATGCTACCAGTTAGCAACATATCATTGATATGCAGGAGAAACAGCGTTGGTGATAGCACGCAGCCTTGTGGAACACCAGCGTTGATAGGCTTGACATCAGAGCATGCACCGTCTACTACGACCTTGATGCTCCGATCAGCAAGGAAACTTGTGATCCATTTGCACAGTTTCTCGGGAAGCCCATAGAAAGGAAGCTTCGAAAGAAGCGCTTTGTGCCAGACCCGAGCGAAGGCCTTCGCTATGTCCAAACTAACGGCCAATGCCTCCCCCTTGGACTCTACTGCCTCCGCCCATCTATGAGTTAAGTACACTAGAAGATCACCAGCTGATCGACCCCTACGAAAACCGTACTGGCGGTCACTAATCAGCTGGTGATCCTCAAGGTACCTCATGAGCTGGCAGTTTATAATGGATTCCCTTATTTTGGAGAACAAGGAGGTGATGGCGATAGGCCTATAGTTGGACGGGTCTGAGCGGTCGCCTTTTTTAGGGATCGGGTGGACCAAAGCTGTCTTCCATGAATTCGAGACTACGCCTTGAGAGTAGGAGTACCGGAAAAGACGCGTTAAAACCGGTGCCAACTCCGGAGCACACGTCTTCAGCACAATGGGAGGGACTCCATCGGGCCCACTCGACTTGCTGACGTCCAAGGAGAAGAGTGCTTTGCGAACCGAAAATGTCAGCAATACATGGGCTGACGTTTCTTCCTCCCCCATACATGCCCTGCACAGGGGACTGTTTGTAACACCTAAAGTAAATAAATGTTTGTTAAGGGTGCCGTGTCCTGTGATAGCACTTGTTAGTATCCTGATCTGCGGCTTGTTCCGTCTCGTTAGAAACTTGGATAAATAACTTTTTATTTCAAGCAGGGCCTCCCTAGCTTGTCTACAGTCTACTAGATTTTTCCAAAGTTGACCGTGTTGGTTAGTGAAATGTTTAAGTAAAAGTGAATGAATGTTACCAAAGGGGATTGGTATGATTGGTTTCAGCCCGATAGTGACTAGAGCCGATCCTCTTCTGGCCAGTTCGTCTACTGCATTGTTGCCTCTGGATCCACTGTGTCCCTTTATCCATTGCAGAGTCACATTGTTGTGTTTACATACCTAATTTAATCGTTGATGGCATTCAAATATTACTCCAGAGTTCACCACATTGCAACTCAGGGCTTATAGTACAGCCCTACTATCGGTCAGTATTCTGATGATAAAGTCATTAACCTTCTTAGCATGTATTGCTATGGCGGCTTGAATGATACACATACATTCCGCCCGAAAGACTATGTTGTAGGTACCCAGCGGTGTGCACATGTGGATGTTGAGGTCAGAAAGTTCCAGATCCTACACCTTCATTTGTTTTAGAAACATCGGTGAAGACTCTTAAGTTCTTTTGGGCTTAATCCCTCTGGCTGGCTGGTTTCATTTAATTGTATCTTATACTTCTTACCTTATCATACTTGACTTACTTACAGTTAGGAGTTTTTGAGTGAATTCTCTCAATTATGCCTGTATGAAGGACTCTATTCTTACTCCAAAGATTTAGGATCTTGAGTCTAATGGCAGCTAAAGTTGCTTCTTGTTGTATGTGTAGATGAAGCGGGGTTAGCTCCAGCATCGCCTCTAAGGCTGCTGTGGCCGTATTTCTTATGCAGCCTATGGCAGCCATACATACCAGTCTCTGCTAACGCTGCGGGCAGCCTTTATTAATCTGAATTGTTTGAGATTCACCAGCGATCTTTATTATTTGTGTACTAAGCATGTTCACTATCCAGTCAATCTGTGCCGGTTCAACTTTATGTCTACTAAGTGCACTTTTAATGCTGGAGAAGTTCGTTCTGTCAAAAGCACCTTCTATATCTATGAAGGAACCTAGACATATATTACTTTGTTATGGATGGCCTCTTCAATCTTTGTTATTACCTGGTGAAGTGCCGATTCTGTCGATTTACTTAAGCCGTAGGCGTGATGTTTGTCCGCTACACGCCAACAAGTTCATTAGCGCCGACCACCTTAGTTCCCTTTCACACATCCTTTCCATTGTCTTTAGGAGAAAGGATGTGAGGCTAAGGGGTCTGTAGGATTTAGGGTTGCTATTACCTAGTTTGGGTATGAATGTGACTTTCACTTCCCTCTATCCCCTAGCAACATATTTCAGATCCAGATAGGTTCTCATTATGGCAACAAGTCTGATTATTAGGGCTTTACCCCCCCATTGTAGGAGTGCCGGGAATATGCCGTCAGGTCCTGCCGCCTTGTAGGAGAGGAAACTGTGAATGGACCAATGGATTTTGTCCATCGTTACCACTCTCTGAGCTAAATTCCAGTCTTCTGCTGTTGGTGTCAGTGTATCTTCATACTGGTTTACCCCCTGAGTTACGCAGCAACATGGGAAGTGCGTTTTAATTAGGATGCGTTGGGTTTCATCCGGCGATTTTGTGTAGCTTCCATCGGGTTTCTTTAAAGAGATGGATCCCGGCGTGTTCTGTTTAGCTAGGATTTTCCTTATCCGATTTGCTTATTCACAGGTTTCTATGTTACCACAGAATTTACGCCACCCTGTCGAGCGTCGATACCTGATACATTTCTTGTATTCAGACTTTGCGTTCTTGTATAGTAGCCAGTCTTCATCCATTGAGGAATTCATGGCCTAATAAATATTTAGGGCTTTTCTTACCTTTTTACATTTTCTGTCTAGTTCTTTAACCCACCACGGTTGCTTTACCTCAGCATGTCGTGGTGGAGTGATTTCTGGACATGATTCATGGTAGCTATCCTTTACATATAATAAAATATAGTTAAATATAGCATAGCTTTATTAAACTATATTTTATTTCATATATTCTTTAAAGTATATGCTATATTATATTAACGTTTTTATGAATAAAGTATAATACATATATTATATATATTTATGAATCCCAAGCAAATGAAACACATTGTTAACACCCCCATAATAATAAATAAATTTTTTACCTGACCATCTGAATTTGTAAGAGAGTCTTTGGATTCAGCACAAATGGTTTGTATTTCAGCTTTACATAACTTTCCAAGTAATGGATCAAGACGGTAGTTCAAAGCCTGCTCCTTCAATATGTTTGCCAGTTCATTTTCACAAGAAGAAGTTAATTTGGATTCTCTAAACTTTTCTTTCAAACAATATAACACTTTTCCTTGCAATTCAACTCCTTGAGGTTCACTTGCTATAAATATAGAACTGTGAATGTTTTGAAATGTTAAGGAATGTGTGCATAAAATTATATTTTCAAACAACTTCAAAAAAAAAGAGGTTCTCAATTAGTCGGAATCTTTTTTTTATGTATGTTCACCGATTAATTAAAGACGCCTGAACCGATTTGGAAAATTCTTTTTTTGTTTCAAAGGGTATACTTCCCAGGTAGTTCCATTTAAATTTCATCGAGATCGGTCAAAGGGTTTTAAAAAATCAACAATAAATTATATTAATTTTCAAGTAGTATGTATAAAATTTTAAATTTAGCTTTGTACTTACCTATAATTTTAACACAGAATTTTTTTATGTCAGGTTTACAAGCATTTTGTAAGTTATTATTAAATCTGTAGTCCATATTTTGTTCAATCATTCTATTAACAACAACAATCTTACAATTATCATCAAAGTCTGGTTTTTGGCGATGAACCTAAAAGACATTTTTAGTTAATGCATTACAGAATTGCAATAATTTTTACTTTAATAAACAAGAAAGTTAATACCTTTAAACAATCTAAAATAGTAGAGGCTTCTGTATTATGACAGTACAAGTCTATCATGTCATTGCAACTAGTTATCAAGTGATAGTCAATAGCATTATCTGAAAATTCCTGTTTCCTAACTACAAAAATTGCTTTACGACATCCATCACTTAACTTCCCTTTGGCTGTTTGTAAACATTCCAATGCAGCTGATTCTCCATGAGGCACTGCAGGGCAAAACATTTGTAAATCCTTTGCACAGGCTTCTTTAAGATCAGGATCTAAGTCTATGTTTTCCTTTTGTTGAAATAGTTGGCTTCTTAGCTGTTGTCGACAGTCTTTAAATATTGTATGCTTTCTTTTTGTTATAGTGTCATTTCTTACAATTTCACTTAAACATGTCACTACCTGATTCTTTGTTTGTGCTTTAGGACAGAACCTTTCTACGTAGGACTTGCAAGCATTTTTAAATTTCCTAGTAAATCTATAATTTTTTAACGCAATCAATTGTTCGTGTTCAATTGCTGCACGGCATTTAATATTTGTTTTTATTTCTGGATCATTCTTGTGAGCAATTAAACAATCCAAAACATCATCTTCATCTTTTTTGCTCTTTAACTCTGAAGAACAAAGATTTTCGATAGGAATGCGGCAGTTACTGCTAACTATAGCATTAAGTTCTATGTGACCACTTTGTGTTTCAGTGAAATTTGTTACAACTTCTCTGCATTTAGGAGATAGTTCTTTTATTTTATTTTGCAAGCACAATATTTCTTCTCCTCTACCAGTATTTTCAAAACATAAATTTGCCAAGTCATCTATGCAAAAGTCTTCAATTTCTGGCAACAAATCTACACTAACAGCCCTTTGCCTCATTACTCTTTTTACTTGTTGTTCACATGCAGGTTTTAGCATACCTTTTAAGGCAGAATTATATGCATAATTGTATAAACAAGGTAGAATCAAAGGATCCTTTTCAGATGGATGTTCACTAGCATCAGCCCATTGAAGTTTAGCTTTGCATTGAGTTACAGCATCATATTTACATGCTTTATATAGTTGGGGATCAAGTTTAAAGTTTCTAGAAATAAAATATTGTATTTGTAGTAATGCAGTTTCACAATCACTTGTCATGAGTACAGTTCCTAGTTTTTCCATCAGGCATGACATGACCCTGCCATTACCACCATTTATTTCCCGACAAGCCCTATCAACCACAGGTTTACATGCTTTACGTAAGATGGGGTCCACTCTCCAATCTTCACCAGGATCTGCTTCTTGAACTAGAGCTTCTAGGGATTTTTGACAAGACATGCTTATTCTTCTTTCTTTTCTCTTTCTTGGTCTAGCATGTTCCATCAAACAGTGTATTGTTTTTCCCCCTACCTCAATTCCTCTGCAAAGATTTGTTATATCATTGGCGCAGTTTTGCATCAATTCTGGTGATAATCTATAATCATCCATCAACATTTTCCTATGATCAATCATTTCAGCAACACATTCTGGGGTTAATTTTGTGCTATCATTTCTAGATATATTTTCCAAACATAGTAAAATTTGTGCTAGTCTAACTTCTTTATCATCTACCACACCTTTCCTACAATGATACTTTCTAATATCTTCTTTACATGACTTAACTAAGCTTTTACTAGTTCTATAGTTCATAACTACATTTCGTTGGACATAAAAAAGTTGATCTTGGCACTTTTTTGTCATACCTGAAACATTCCATTAAAATAAAAAAAAATGTAAATCTGACTATTCAAAAAATATATGTTAATACTAATATATTAACCTTTCTCGTACTTATGCCTTACAAGACATTTATACATTAGAAGAGATCCAGGTACTTCATCAAGACAAAAGGTTTTTAGGTCTAAATTACAAGCAGCAAAGACAATTTTATCCAACTGGAGAGTACTATACTTCATTTCATTCAGAACATTGAGTTCTGACTGACATTCAGGCTTAAGATTTGTAATTTGACTTTGAAGACATTTTAATGTCTGTAGTTGTGACATACTCCTTGAGTCAGTTGGTATCCGACCACAATTATAAGCATTAATATCATCAAAGCAATTTCTCAAAAAATTGCCTGTTATTTGCCAGTCATTAAAGATTAAAGATTCAATGTTGTTAATGACACTCCAACAAGTTTTATCTTTCACACTTGGTTTTCGTTTCAAAACACAGTCTATACTGAATTCAGTTGGACTCAGGCAATCCAATATAACTGGTTCTTCTTGACAAGGTTCCTTTAATTTATAATCAATGTAGGCATTGTCTAGAAGTTCGGCTTGGTACATCCATACTTTGTGTTGACAAAGTAATGTAGCCTGTGTTTTGTTGTTATGAGTTGCATTCAATGCACATGATAGGATTGTCAGATCATCATGCAAACTTGAGCACTGTTTTTCAATTACACCGCATCCACTCAGATCTACTAAATATCTTCCTTTCTGAGATCTTATTAACCCACCAATCGCCTGTGCTCCTATTATGTTCTTTATTGAGAGTGACAGCAAAAAACATATAGCTTCAATTAACAATATATTATACATTTTGATGTACCGGCTTACTTATTACTTCTTACTGCACTAAAACATACTTAATGATTCCCTATTTCTAACTTAATTACTTATTAATTTGAATTTGTCGTGATTGAAGGAAATAGCATGTTGAGAATTAATTTGAATTTGCTATAGCACTCCACAATGGACAGTTAACGTACTCTATACCACAAGAATGAAAAAACGCAACGAATGCTTTTCGGCAAAGAGACTGAGTATTGCTACTGTTGCAGTTTATTTCTTGGCATCTAATTCTCTAGTATATTATATACAGCAATCTTTTTATAGTATGTATGGAAAACACAAAACAAATCAAAATGCTAAATGACATTTTAAGATTTTTTAACATAGAAGTAATAGATTGCTAAGCAAAAGTAATAAGACCATACGGTATAGATTATACACCAATCATGTGAAATGTAGGTACATGTTAGGCTAGTGGCGGCAAAGACGTATTAAAAAAAGATAGACAGGTAGTACTCATAGACATAGTATCTTATAGACTAAACATTCAGTGACGTCATCAGCGTGTGAAAGGAATGCACGTATATAGTTAGACATAAGAGTAAGGGTGCGTGTTGCCAGTGATGACTTACGGAACTGAGACGTGGTCCTTCACTGCTGGCCGTATGAGGAAGCTCAAGGTCGCTCAGCGAGCTATGGAGAGGGCTATGCTCGGAGTTTCTCTGCGTGATAAACTTAGGAATGAGGATATCCGCAGTAGAACCAGAGTGACCGACATAGCCCAACGGATTAGTAAGCTGAAGTGGCAGTGGGCCGGCCATATAGCTCGAAGAACCGACAACCGATGGGGAAGAAAGGTTCTCGAGTGGCAGCCTCGTACCAGTAGGCGAAGTGTAGGGCGTCCCCCCACGAGATGGAGTGACGACCTGGTAAGACATGCAGGAAGTCGATGGATGCAGGTGGCTCAGGACCGTGTTTTGTGGCATTCTTTGGGGGAGGCCTATGTTCAGCAGTGGACTTGTGAAGGACTGTAATGATGATGATGATGAAGAGTAAGGGAGAAGCAAATCTATATTTCTTGTCTTTTTCTAGGTATGCGTTTTTGATTGTTTTCCCTCCTTTATTTGACATTAACGATGTCAAGCTCTTTTGAATAATATTGATATTATAAGCAAACAGGTAGTTGAAGTAAGTGTTTTTTGTGGGTGTTAGTTATTAGATAAGGTGAAAAAGATGGTAAGTTGTAGCATTTTAGGATGCAACAGCATCAGTCAACGAAAAATTGATAATATTACCTTTCATCGGTAAGTTTGTTTTGTGCTTACATTTGCTACTTGTACTGATTAATATCTATTGTTTTGAATATAAAGTGTAACATTTCATGTTTTTAATGAACTTTGTGATGTATTTTGTCAAATATTTGGACTCCCAAATTGTAAATTCTTCATGATAATGCTCCTTAATTTGGACGGTCATTCGAAAGCTTAAAGTCATAACAAACGTGTACTTTTTGATTTGGTAGGATTATAGAAACTTTAGGGATATCAGCGAGTACAATAATGTTTTCGCATTGTTCAATAATAATTGTTATTGTGATTAGTAGTTATGTCCATAAATATGAATCACATAATGTTATACATATACATACGCTTTTATGTTCAGCTTTAAAGGAAACTCCTCATTGCCCTACAACTCTTCAGTCATTTTCCATATTACATAGACGTCACAAATAATATGTAAGTATCAACCTGAAAACACGTTTGGATTCAAGTACATAAGTATTAGACAAATTATATTTAATTTCACAAAATATGTATTGCCTGAAATCAGATGCACAAAACTTTATTGCATTCCATTAATTCTATTATACATTAGCAACAATTACATTACAATATTTATTAAAAAAAATATGTCATGCTAATATAAATATAGCTAAAATAATAAATAAGTCTTAATCTTAAGGTACACAATAACACAACAACATAAGATAATATTCTCAATTAATGATGTAGAAAAAATTTGATGATAATATACTTATCGTTACCATTAGTCAGTATCAAAAGTCAAAAGTTATAGGTTTTGTGATAGTTGCCTAGCTTGGCAGGAGAATTGGCAACTGCAGTTATTTGGAGATAAACTGTGTGGCAGGTCTATGTTCAGCAGTGGAGGACAGTTATTAGGCTGTAAATGTATTAATTAACAATATCTAAAGCTTAATATGTACTTAATTTTTTTAAATGTTTGGTATGAATAATATTATCATTACATTTACATATACTTGCTATTTAATTCAATCAATTGATATTGTTTTAATTGTTATAGGTATTGTATTTATGCACTGATACACATACTTAATTTTTTTTGTTAAATACCTTGATATAAAAGTGTACTATATATTTAATATATTAATTTCTTTTAAATATATTATTTCACAGCTTTCCTAAGGAATCAGCTATCCGTAACTGTTGGATAATCACTACTGGTAGTGATTATAGGTAACCAATAAAACTTAGCAGTGTATGCTCAAAACATTTTAAGCCTCATTGTTTTAGATGGACTAAATATGCTTAACTTATGTAATTTATTATATAATTAAGATAATTTTTTTAAATGTTATAATTTGTTGTTGTATCTTGTTGTTTCTCCATAAGTGATATAAGTTTGATCTTGTTGGTAGTTATGATTTTTGACATTGTTCTGTATGTATTAAAAATTGACTAGCATTGCATGTTTTATATTCAAATGCTGACATTCTGTATTATTATGACTTGTAATAATTGGGTGGCATGACAATGACAAAATATTTACTTATAGATGTATTGATCAAACATGAATCCTCATTTACAAATGTTGGAACTTTATCTGTACTATCATGTTTTATGCAAATAAAGATTTAAATAAAAGAAATAAATAAGTAATTTAAAGTCCTGACCTAAATATACAAATGAATAATTTATTATGCAATAATAATAGTAAAACTGACTGGGAATGCCTACCAATGGGACATTTAGTCCACCCTTAATCCCTTTTATAAAGGTGTTATAAACATTAATGTGTAAATAAATTAAGAAATAAATGTAATAATTATGATAATTTCTATTTAATTGTCATATATAATGTAATAAAGATGTTTTTGACAAGAGATAAGTATTACCTATCTAAGTATAGTTTAGGAGTTGTACCTTATTATTTATACCATTAGAATATATTATATACAAGGCAAATAATATATATATATATATAAATAAATATATATATATATATATATATATATATATATATATATAAATATTTTGTCATTGTCTATAAATAATTTATTATGCAATAATAATTGTAAAACTGACTGGGAATGCCTACCAATGGGACATTTAGTCCACCCTTATCCCTTTTATAAAGGTTTTATAATGTCTATCAAAAGTCCACTGTTGAACATAAACATGATTATAGTTATTTGGCATAGTTTCAACGCTTGGAAAGCGGGGTGTCAACCACTGTTTTCTTTTATTTAGCTGTTATCAGGACAATGCTGCTGTTTATCTTCTTTGATATTTCCCTATGTCGCCTCATACAACACCCATGGAATGATATGAGATAGCAGATAATCTTACACTGCATGGTAAATTAAAATAGAATATTATAAAACATTCTTTTTTATTTTATATACGAACATATTACAAAAACAAACCCTTTGTTGATGCTTTACAACATATATTAACTAAACATTTTACCACCTTAACCATTAGGTAACATGATTAAGCCACCTAACCATAAGTAAGTCACCTAAAAAAGGCCTTCCATAGATATCCTCATAGGATGACTTTTGCCATAGTTGCCACGCCTGCGTGAAAATATGTGTTATGCTGGTTGGCCACCGCAGTTATTTATTATTTTAAGTTTTCATCGGGAAAGTGCTGCTGCCCCATCCCCATCTTGTATTATTGCTTACGACGTGGGGTAATATCATCCCGTATATAGACAAATTCTCTTGTACGCCACAACTTGCCGCACACAAGACACTAACTTAGCAAAACATTCAGGACATCGCGGGAGTAGGCTCATAACCGTGTTTTGTACTACAAAACCTAAGTGGAAACCCTTTCCTTTCGAAGGTCTGTGTTCAGCACTGAACTTGTGATGGAATGGTATGTTAAAACATTATTGTTTTTTTTTTGTAAAAACAACAAAACTCGACAGAAGGAAATTTTTGTTTATTATTTAATATTTTTATTCTCAATTAATATTTAAGTACATACATAACATATTGTTATTTATTAGCGATATCACACTTTGTACTATTAGCGCCTTCAATTAGTGCTGTCGAAATCCAAAGAGTTATTGAATATCCAGTAAAATCGTCGATGCGCCGTTGAATACAGAATGATGATTCTGTTTTTACGCCGTTTCCGCCCGTAGTTTTTAGTCACAGAATGTATTTTCAAGAGAAATTAATTAATCATCTGAATTATAAAAGAACATTTTTTTATGGTAACAATTAAGTTTTTTGTATGAATGTAAGTGCTGTGAATATAAATAAACCCATAACGGGGGAAATGGAACAATATCTGGTAACCCAGTAAAAGTACCTCCCGCCTATTTCTATCTCAAAAGCATACGCGAATGCTTTATCTAGTCAATCCTCTATCTACGGTAGTACTATATCTACGTAGAGTTATTTATTATGACACGTTGCGCTAACAAAAAGAGACAAATGATAAGGCATACCTATCGTTAGAAAAAGATGAATATACATCATTAGTTGCGTATTGATTACTGATGAGCGCTCATTGGCGCGAGCGCATGACATACCGATATAGAAAATGAACACACTAGCTAGCATCAAAGTTGACACTAGCGGTTAGTGTTGAAATAATAAAACAAATTATGAACAAAACATCTTATATTCATAATATTAATGAGACATTTTTCTTGCCTCTAACAGTTGCCGTGTAATTTGTGCACCACCTAAAAACACAGGAAGGCATTTTTGCCACGAATAACTAGAAGATTTACGCGCTGTAGCGAAGGTA